GGGAAATACATGTACGAGTACGCGTACGGGCGGTACATGGGCACGAAGACGACGGGCTGCACAGGCGTGTAGATCATCGGCGGTGGCATCGGGCGCATGCCTTGGTTGGGCATCGGCTGGCTCGCGGGTACAGCCGGCGCAATTGGGCGGGGACCGGTCGCGGGCACTGGCGCGGGCACAGGGCGCGGCGCCGGGCCGGGTGCGGGACCAGGGCGAGGACCAGGGGCGGGACCTGGCGCAGGGCCCGGCGCAGGTCCTGGACGAGGACCAGGAGCCGGACCTGGTGCCGGAGCTGGCGCGGGACGCGGTGCTGGCGCTGGTGCAGGTCGTGGCGCTGGTGCAGGCGCAGGCTTGCCGCCGCCGCCGCCCTTTTGCGCGAGGCTCGTTAGCAGATGGCGCAGGTAGCCCACTTCGAAGAAGGCCAACGGGCCATGGTCGACGGCCACGCGCTGCTCGTTGGCGCCGACGGCCGCGACGCAGAGGACGACCAGCAGGAGGAGCACGCGGAGCGACTGCATGCTGGCAAATGCGGATCTGCTGCCGCTCTGGCTCCAGCCAAACGTGTCCCACGTCGAAAGCAGCTGAATTTCAAAAAAAGTGAGGCCTTCACTAAAGTTCCATTTCGACGAACACGCCAAATGCCCTCAACGATCCTCCTCCGAGGACGAGACGACAACGAAGACTGCTGTCATGGGCTGCGGCTCTGGCACCTCGAAGCACACGACGCGTCTGCGGCCCAGTGATTTGCATGCAAAGCATTGAGTTTTTTCGGCAGATTTTTCATTTTCAGTTTTCGGATATCCGGGGTATCCTGTGCTCGGAGGACGCGGGAAGACAACGCAATGGCAGCTGGCCTTCTCGCAGCGAAATGAAATGAAAAGCGACTTTCCAAGAGCGTCCACCTGGTCCCAGCTGCGGGACAGCTTCGTCGCCGACTTCACCGGACGACATCCCACAACCTGCGGACTTAGATTTCGCTGGGTGACCATCCGAATCTGCCTGTTGAATGACATGCGTGGTCATGCAGCGCTGCCCAATCCTACATGTGTGCCAACGTACGAGCTGCTACATGCGGGTCTCTGCGACCACGGCAGACGCGGCGTGGGACGACGTACGGCAACCCTAGCCCGCCACCCAAGATCGACCTCGTGGACGCGCACCTTGGTTCTCTCTTCTTATAAGAAGATCTATACGACGATCTATGTGGGAAAGATTGACTCTACGTGGTGGCAATCGCTGTATCGATGGCGGCCTGCGTGACGTCGGTGGCAGCGGCCCACACCTGCGCAATGTGGCCATCGGGACGCACGAGCAGCGCGGCGACCTCAGATCCTAGCGACTCGGTCGCATCGACAAACGTCGCCGACGCGCCGACGACGACCGTCGGCACCGAGAGAGACGGCACTGTCGTGTCCAGCACCAAAAGCACGTACTCGGGCGTGCCATTCGACGCGGCCATCAAGTGCGGCAAGTCGAGCGTCGAGACGACCGCATCGGTGGCCGTCCAGCGCAGCCATTTGTGGGGGAGGCGCCCGCCGACTTGAACCGACGGAACAAAGCCATTAGGAGAATTGAACTCGTGCGACGCATCGAGGGCCGCGTCGGTGGCGTTTGGGAACGGCGCGTTGTAGACGTAGCCCAGATCCCACTTGAAAAACTAGATCAGATACATGAGCCACTCAGTTCTTATGCATCTCCATGGTACGAGCATGCCGATGGCCTTGCGTCGCTGCACAATCTCGGCGACGCGGCGACGGAGGTGCGCGCCAATGTTGGACGCTGCGTCTTCGAGCGACCGGAGGTGGGCCGACCCAGCCGCCAACGCCGACGAGACGACCGACTGGCGCACACTGGATGGCAGCAACTGGAAGAGAGACGAGTGCGTCGCAGCTTCCAGCTGCTGCGCCGACGCGTACGAGACGTGGAGCGCGCTCGGCACCCGCAGCGTCCGCTCAAAGTTCTGGAGACTCAGCGCCGTCGTGGCCGTCGCGATCGGCTGGCGCTCGGCCGAGTACTGACGCAGCGATGTCGGCGCCCCGTGCAGGTGCCGCGCAAGCCGCCACGCGAGGTTGTGCGCGTCCTACTCTCTAAGAGATTGAAATTCGCTTCGTGGAAAATGCAAACCTGGATGCCCGTGTTCATGCCAAAGCCACCGGCGGGCGGGAACCGGTGCGCAGCATCGCCGGCCAAGAAGACGCGATCGTCGGCCGCACAGTACGTGGCAGCGACCTGCGCCTGCATCTCCCAGTAGCCGACCGAGTGAATGTCGACGTCGAGCGAGGCCGCGCCGGACGCGGTGGCTGCCGCGCGAATGAGCGCGTCGCAAGCTGCTGTCGAGTACTCGGCAAGCGGCTTCTTGGGATTTGACGGGAAACACGGGATTTGGAAGACCCACTCGCCCTTCTCGAGGTCGTGGGCGATCAAGACACCAATCACCGAGTGGTTAAACTAGATGACAAGGCAGGTCAACTTTGTCGTCAAGAGAACCAAGACAATATGAACGTACCACAAAGTAGAGCATGGCCGGGCACGTGCGCGCGTGTTCTGCGAGCTAGAACACCCACGTTTGAGCAACCAAACCGAATACCACTCGAGAAAGGACGACCTTGTGGCTCGTAAAATGCACGTTGACGAGGCTCTGGAGCTTGGACGAGCCTTCCATGGGCACGCCGACGGCCGCGCGCACCTTGCTGTGGGCGCCGTCGCAGCCAATGACATATGCGTACTCGTGCTCTTCAGTTGCGCCCGATTGCCTGCGATAACGATGAGATGGCGAGTCGGGACAAAGATACGTACACGTTGCGCAGCGCCACGCGCAGTCGGTCGGTGCGCGTCGTCTCGAGGCGCGTGAGCTCGATGCCGCGACGGAAGCGGAGCCCGGCCTCGGTTGCGTACGCGCTCAGGAGGTCTTCAAACTTGTGCTGGGGAAAGTGGACGGGCTGTGTCGGCGACAAGTAGTGCAAGCTCTCGCTGAGCTCGTTGCGGAAGCCGGGCGACGCGGGCGGGCGGCGAATGCTCGGGCCAAACTGGTCGACGCGCGCGAGCTCGTTGCCCATGACGCGGGCGCAGTAGACGTAGTCGCGCCACTAGATGCGGTATCTGTAGGAAAAGAGAGATGGGAGGAGAAGGCGTACTTGGTGCGGCGGCGCGGCGTGGTCGAGGACGCGGTCGTGCAGCACGGGCAGGTGCGTGCGCAAGATCTCCATCGAGCGCAGGTTCATAAAGTGGGCTTGCGGGTGGTGCGTGGGCGAGAGCTGCCGGTCGACGATGTCCACGGGGACCTTGTACACGTGCTCGAGGAGCAGTCCGAGCGTGAGCCCAACGGGCCCGCCGCCGGCGATGAGCACGCGCGACCGGTGGCCTGCGCGCAGCATGAGCTTCTTGTTTTATGCACCGGCGGCGTGCACATGCACCTGAAAACCTCTATCTTTGTATCTTGAAGCATCGAGTTTAGGAGGTTTGGACTTCCAGAGCCATCGGTGCAAGCCAGGCGGCCACGAGATCAATGCTATTGCGCAAAATGACTGAAACAACACCTTCCAGAGATGTTGGCTTCGTATACGAGTGTGCTTTGTATACGATAGAACGAACGGATTTGCAATAGTATCAAGGTTTCAAGTGCGATACGACCGACGCGCAAACTGACATGCAAGTGCAAGGCAGCGCAGGTATAGAGTGCCAGCGAGGCAATGGTCTTCACAGCGGTGGATGGTGGGGTCTAAGAAGATATGGCTGCTGCACCAACGCTGCACTCAAAATACGACGTGCACTAGCAGTAAACGACACCACGGCTGTAACTTTCTTGGTCTCATCGAGAAGCTTATGCGCACGGATCTACCCTGCAATCGAGAGTCGGTACATTTACGACAACGTGCAGTTTGTGATCCTGAACGTACTAAGGTTGACTGTGCGATCCAAATGGCTGCTGCCAACATAAAGGTCAACGCTGCATTCAAGCCTAGTGCGTTGCACGTGGAACCTAGCGTTGGTGGACCATGAGCTCTGGGATACATAAAAGTTTGCACCCCGAAATGAGTTCACGCGACGAGCGACAGCAGTGAATCCATCCTAAAAACATTGCGGTAACATCATGTCTCCACCCTGTAGTCCCAGAAAGAAGCAACGACACCACTACCGAGAACCACCCGAGAACCGCCCATGGCTCGTCTCGTTGCAAATCTGACATGCTCGGGCCTGCAACGCGAAAAATATCTTAGCCAACGCATACTGCAGGAGTCCGGTTTAGACTGTAGGTATCGTTTCCGTGCTGCGCTCCTGCTGCGTGGAAATGAGATCTTGAATGAAATGGCGGGCGTCGCTAGGATGTACAGTACATGCCGAAGCTTCTGAGCGTAACCATCGATATTGAATGACTTCAAACGGCCAACAAAAACGGTCTATGGCTGCACGCAGCGAACCATAGTTCTAGCACCGCTTGCAATGAATGCGGTCTCGTGATCGGTGCATCTGCCTGGCGATCGACACGCTAATTGCTAAAAACACGCCAAAATACACCCTGGATTCTGATGAGCCTCACAAAATACAATATCTTGTTGCGTGTGTCAAGACATCGGGAGGCCTTTCTACATTTAAATGCGGATCCCTTATATCTGGTGTTTGTATTGATCGAGCTATTTAAATAATTTGTCCGCTAAAGTGCGATTGGCACCTCAAAATCGATCGGCGCGCTATCGGGAAGATGGACGGTGGCGCCATGGACGTCGGCGCCATGGAGAGCTTCCTGATCAAGGATCAAGATCAAAACCTCCGCGTCCGCAGCAGAGAGGTCTCTGCGGTCTTCACGCGCTTCGACTTGACGACGTTCCGCGTCCTCGTCATGACGATCTGGGTCGACCACGACGTCCGCAAGTCCCTCGATGAAGATGGATCATCTTCCCTCCGTGATATCTCGGCTCCTAAGTGGAGCCCTGGGGACGAAATGGTCGCTGTAGGCGACTACTTTATGGTCGGGGACGACTTGCTTCACGTCATCATGGGTGCTTCCAAGAGCTGTCGCCCCATGACACCGAGCTACAACGACATTATCGCGCTCGCGCCGCTGGTGTTTGGTCGGATCGTCGTCTTGTGCACGCATGAGCTCCCCGATGCGTCAGAGCACGCGCGCATCGTCGTTGTCGGGGCTCGAGAGCTCGAGAGCTTTTTCCAGGCCGTGACGCGCAGTGGACGTGCAGCGGTGATCACGGCGACGGTCCTATCCATGCTCAATCCAACCAAGGCAACAATGCTGGCGTCAAAGAAGCGCACACCCCACCCAAAGACGCACCCTCGACTTTCCAGCGTACAGAACGCTGCGTCGCCGCGTCCGTCGAGCCCGCGCTTGAAGCCGTCGACGATGAAGACGCCCAAAACCAAGCCAACGCATGCCGTTGTCGTGACGCGCCGTGACGTCGCACCAAACAAGCCGGCCGTTTCTAGTCGACTGACACCGACGCGCCTTCTCACGTCGGCAGATCACGACGTTGTGCGGCAGTACAAGGCTGCGCTGGACTTGACGCGAGCACACACGTCGCCAGATACCTTGCCATTTTTTGTGGCTATTCTCAAGCAGCTCGGCTCCAAGAGTCACAAAGCCCTGCAAGAGCCCAGCATCTCGTACGACAACGTCAAAGAGTACGTCGACGTCTGGCAGCCGCTGCTCGTCGCGGAAACCGCCCACGCGACTCACCAAGGGTATACATTCCTCTGCATGCCCCCGACTCTTTCAATTTTATGGTTTAGGTTCGAGAAGTATGCAAAACGCGACGTCGCATTAGTGTGCCAAGAGCGAACGCATCACGACGTGTGGCGTTTCAGCGCGGTCCCGTGGAACCTGCACGAGTCGTTGCATATGCATGACGTTGTCCGCCTCAAGGTATTCTACCTCGTCACGACACTCTTTATGACTACTAACGGCTTCTTTCATGTAGTGTGGTCGTACGCAGGTCTATGGCATCATTGTGGGTCAAGACCAAGCAGACAAAGCGCGGTTTTTTGCGCTACTCGAAGACGGCGCCCGTCCACAAACCAGCACCAAGTGGTCGGTGGTTTTCGGGGTCAATTTGATCTCGCAGATGCGCGAGTTTGTTGCGTTATCGTCCCTCGGCCAAGTCCCGGCGACGCTGCGCCGCATGATTTTGCAGCCCACCCACGCGGCGTCGGTTCGCTGCACCGTCAAGAAGCACGACGCGAGCCTTCGGAAGCTGCGTTCAACGCCGGTGCGATCAATACCGTTGTATCTACCACTGCTAACATCAACCATAGGGATCGACAGCCGACATGGAAATTCTCGGCATCTTACGCAGCTTGGACGACACGGCGATGACGCTCGGCGAGTTCTATGTACGCGCGCGCATCGGTAATGCTTGGGTCTTATGCACCGCGACGTGAATAGTCGACGCGCATCCTCGCAACTGTCCAAGACCTCGGCGCGCGCAGCGACAAGAACGTTACCAAAGCCGCGCGCGCGCTTTCCATCAAGTGGTCGACTGCGATTGAATTCGAGGTGCGGTCATGCTTGTGCTGAAGAGCCGGTCTCATGGTGACATCAAAACGTAGCGGGCGACCAACTCTCCCCCTCGATTGGTTCCGAGGGTCGTTTGGCACACCGTCTCGTCCCAGGTTGACGACGCGCAGCGGGCGGCGATCAAGGAGATTCTCAACAGTCCTGCACCGATTGCCTTGTTGCAAGGCCCGCCTGGTACCGGGAAGACCACCGCGTCGGTTGCACTTGCCAACTGCCTGGCTACTACGCAGCTTCTGGTTCGCACGGCGGCGACGCGCTTTGGTCTGCTGCCGGTCTTGATCGCCGCGCCCTCAAACAAGGCGGCGTTTGGGTTCGCTACTCGACTTCTCCAACCGGAGTGCCTTGTGGACACCGACGGCAGCCGCACCACGATCAAGACGCCAAGCGACGCGCCAGAAGACCAGCGCTTCACGATGGTTGTCAACGCCAAGCCCGATCTCGTGCCCAAGGTGCTCAAGCCGTTTTGCCTCACGCTCGTGGTCGACAAGGCGATGGACGCCTGTGATCATGTGGCGACGCTTCTCGCCCGGCGCAAGGAGAAACACAAAGCCCGTGACGCGATCAAGGAGGCACTCAACCTCAACAACTCTAAGCGCTGCGAGAGAGCGCTGCGCACCGAGCGCAACCAACTCGGCGCCAGCATCAAGGAGATCGCCGAGACGATCGCGCGCATCCGCTTGGAAAAGACAAAAACCATCGTCGGCAACACCACGTTTGTCGTCGGCACGCTTTCGTCGCTTGGCAACGGCACGCTGGACGTTGTGGACCACGGGTACACCCACCTTTTCTGCGGTCTTTTGTGTAATGAACCATGCTAGGTTTGCCGCCATCATTGTCGACGAAGCGGCGCAAGCCGTCGAGTTGAGCGCCCTGCTCGCTTTCCGCGTCCGCACTTGCCGTCATATTTTTATCGGCGACGTGCAGCAGTTACGAGCGACGGTCACCTCGGAAGCAGTCAAGCGCGCAAAATATGGCCGCTCGTTATTCGAGCGGCTTGAGATTGCCGGTGTTTGCGTGTCGAAGCTCCAGGTACGCCACTGAGTCGCAAAACGGCCTTCGTAGCGCCTATGTTGCCTAGATTCAATACCGCATGCACCCACTCATCGCGCACTTCTCGTCGACAAACTTTTACGACGGCAACCTCAAGAGCGGTCGGGCCGTTTTTGCACGGCTGGAAGGCGACAACATATATAAGCACCCGACGCTGCAACCGTTCGCTTGCTACGACGTGCGTGGTGAAGAGAGCTACGCCAACGGCTCGTTTTACAACAACGCGGAAGCTGTCTACATCACGGACATGGTACCCCGCGTTTATGTTGTCTCGGTATGTCCCACGGAAATGGTCTAGGTGCGCCACATCAAGACGCTGCGAGCTAGCGCGACGCGGTCGTACGCGATCCTCTCGCCGTACAAGGGCCAAGTCGAGTTGCTCCGAGAAAATGTGGCCGCCGAGAAGTGGACCGACGTCCAAGTCAACACAATTGACGCTTTTCAGGCTATTCCACATTCTCTCTCGCGTATATCTTTCTCATTTGTGTGCACAAACAGGGACATGAGGCCGATATCGTTTTGCTGAGCACTGTCCGCGTCCATGAACCAGGCTTCCTCACGGAAAACCCGCGCGCAAACGTCGCACTAACGCGCTCTCGCTCCAACATCATCGTCGTTGGTACGCGCGCTTTTGCCTATGGACGAAATCCGCGTCAAGCTTGTCGTAGGGCACGCAGAGCTGCTCACCTCGTGCTCCATTTGGCGCAAGATGGTCCAGCAAGCGGTGAAGCTCAAGACGCACTTTGTGACCAGAAACAAGTCGTTTATCGAGCTTTGGAACGACACGGAGACCGACGCCGCGCTTAAAGCCCATCATGCAAAGGTGCACAAGGCCCTACTCGAAATGTATGCGGCGGCGCCAGACGTAAGTCGCGATCATCATGCCATCACGTACGACCCTCGTGCTGCAAGGGATGTGTGGGTCTCCGATCGCTCAGCGAGATGCTGATCACGGCAGACATCGTCCTCTTCATACATCCTGTTGTGTGTGAAATACTCATTCTTGACAGAGCACCTCGACGTGTGTGGCATGATCATCAAACCCTCCCAAATCAAGCCTCCCGATGCTCCTTGCTGACGGACCGACCGTACGTTGATTGCTCGTCACAAACGTACCATCTCTTACGATTCTAAATAGTCGTGCGACTCACTAAGCATCATTGATGCTGCATCAAAGCATCCTTGTGCGCTCGTCACTCTTCACATTCTGGCCTCAAAGCGAAGCCGTGTGGCCGTTGCCGCTACAAAGGCGAGTTTGGAAGATGCCGACATTGTCTCAAGCCCGACGAGAGGTTGCCGAAGCGACATGTCGCAGCAGCCGGCCAGAGCCAGGCCTGCGACGGAGTGCGCAGTGCCACCAGAGCGCGACGACGAGGTCAACGCCTCTCTGACCATGGATGATGGGGCGTGGGGCGTGTGCCAGTGCGAGACCGGTGCGACGGTCAATATAACTCATGGCGGCAAGGATGCTTCTGTGAGTCTCGCAAAGACGATCCAGCAGCGTGATCTGCAAGATGTGCGCATGGAGCGCGCGCAGTGGGACGAGTTGCCTTTAACGGCGACCGATGTCCATCTCGACCTCACGCGTGTCGAAAGTGCACGAGTGCTACGGCGGTGGTCTTTTCGACAAGCCGCCGTGGTAGGAGCCGGTAGAACCAACCAACGAGGCGCCAGTCACCCAAGCAGACCGACCTTGGGGTCGTTGCAACAGCCGATTCAACTTCTGGGGGTGGTGAGCAGCCAGTTCAAAGAGTTCTCAAGACTCTTCTCCGACTATCTCTCGCTCGAATACGATCTGCATGTGCAAGTGACGTCAGCTGCACGTGGCTCACCCGCGGACGTGATCAACGAACGACATAATCGGAAGTTGCGCTCCGGGAGCTCGGGGTTCCACCCGCCCAGGTTTGAGCTGCCAATGACGCGGCCGTCCTTGCTAACCACTCCTATAAATCTTGTTTCGATCGAGGACAAAATGGTCTGTATTGACTTTTGTATGGACGAGCACTCTACAGCGGCCCAGAACGTTGCCAATCTTAGCCTAAAACGA